GTAGGTTGGTGGTGAAGCTTCATGAATGTGATTGGTCGTCCGCAGCAGTCGATAGTTTCAGAGCCGGAAAGCCTTCGTTTGCTTTGTGTATAAGTGAACCCATCTTTTTCTCAAAATGACCATTAACGACACACGAACGAATTACTCAGACTTTAATATGTTAAGTTGCAGATGATCGACAATGAACGGCACGAACCAATCGTTACACTCCTTGGTAACATCCTCAGATTTGTGAGGACCTGTAAAAACTGCGCGACTGAATGTCAGAATTTTGTGTATGTGACATGGTGTAAGCTCGCCTACGCGTCAGAGAGATCTGCTTATCCGGTGAGTGGAACGGCGTTTCGCCACGACAGCCTGATCAACTCGTGAGGTGTAGGCTCGTGAGGTGTAGGCCGGTGAGGTGTAGACTCGTGAGATGTAGCAGTTCCGTGTCACACACACACACACACACACACACACACACAACCGCTCAAACACATTCGGCACAAGTCGTATGACCGTCTGTTGCCGTTAACTGTCCGCCGGCGAGCATCCGTTCCGGCAACTGCACAATCCGGCTCGAACGAAGATAAATCATGAGCGGTTGCGGCGATTTCGCTAACTCAGTTCTGTGCTCGTAATTCATTGCATGATCAGGTAACGGGCAATAACCGTACTGACAGTGACGGATGGATGCCGGATCCGGATGTTTTTGCACACATTGTCGATGACTACAAGACTCTGTCATTCATTACGAGCGTGTCGACGCGCCGGCTTGGCGGGCCCGGAGCTGCAGCCGGAACCGGCGGACATTCCTCCTCCTCCTCCTTTTCTTGCTACTCACTGATCTCACTTTCTGCGAAACGATCACTCCTTCCATGATGAAAATATTCCTGTCGTCATACCGGCAATGCGCCATTTATGCAGTCGTTTAGAAGTAGCTTGACACTGCTGCCGCTGCTGCTGCTGCTGCTGCTACGACTGTTGCGAATGCGTTGTGCCTCAGACGTGTGTGCCTTGATCGCGCCTCATATACGAGCACGCGGAAGTGAACGAACGAACGAGGTTGTCAGTTGTCAGCCACTTCAACGTTTCACGCTGTCTTGTTAAATAAATAAATGAACGAATTCTGTGCTGTCTTAATGAAGTATTCTTATTTATCGACTTCATGTTTTGCGCAAGACAGGGTTCGCTCTTAGCTGAGTCAATGCTCAAAACAGGCGTGTCACATGTAATTCATTTCTTAAGCTCATGAATATATAAACAATGTTATGAATGCTAGGAAGATCAAAAACAGGGCATGTATTTGCCTCGTAGCTTTCGAGATTAATGACCTGGTTAGTCCAATAAAGGAGCACCGTACTTGGGTTACGAACGTTTCATGATTAATAAATGTCATATTTTCGAACTTCCTTTCCATTATTGCCATTTATTCAATTTAATTTTTTGAACGACGTTGATAGTCGCCTATTAAACGCTAACACAACAAACATTGGCAGCACCCTATTTCCTCGTCATCGAATTCATCAGATTACCTGGACGCCTCCTCCCTCAACGGACGCCTAAACGCCAAACTGCAACATTATTATCAGTTAAAAATGGCACAGGTTATTACTCGAGGCTCGCATAAAACGTGGGCGCTTTCTTTAGCTCTGATCACCATACAGTCGTAACGGGTCTTCCTCTATAATTAGCCGTCTTTTAGCAACATCGTCTGTTTGAAAAACTCCTGTTTCTCAAAGTCGACAGCCTATAATATGATTAAGCGACGTGGTACCGTTGGTCTACCATACCGACGTTGAGACTTATGATAACGTTATTTTAGCGCCCACTCTGGAGGAAGGGGGATGGTAACTTCAATTTGTCTTGCAAAGACTTTCGATATGGAGTCATTTTGTCGATGAGAAAAGTAGTTTGGGTCAGGAAACCGTTAGCTAAGCAGTTTTGGGTAACGGAGAAGATACTTGCCTTTAGAGTGCAAAGGAATCGGTCAGAGAATGAGTACTCGATACACCCTACTGCACTCCTGAAGTCAGCTGATTTCCATCTAGTTTGTGTTCTCAGCGGATTAGGGCGCATTGGCAGGAAGGAAAAATCAGGAAGACCGATGGGGCAGCCAGAAAAGATGACTGGCGAACAGTGCTCAGATTAATTCGATAGTTGTCAGGTAAGCAGGATACTCGTATGCCGTCCTTTCTCCTGACGCTAATGGTATGTCAGTGACAGATCAAAAGGAGGATCTCATAAGATGGAGTTAGCATTTGCAGCAGCTGCTCAACTGTCCTCTGAATTCGTCATCTCTGGCCGTAAATTGGCTGCCAAAATTAGAGGTTAGTTCAGGTCCACCCGTAAAACTATTCCTGATTTAATTAAATATTAAGGAACGGGCTGGTAATAAAGTTAATGCTTTATTTTATCAAATGCGGACCGCAAAACATTTCCCTGGAGAATGGAAGTAAGACTTAATTATTCCTCTATTTAAGAGAAATCAGACGACAATTTTTTAATTATCCTAATATCACAATGTTGTCAACTCCCGGAAGATTTTTTTATATTACCCCGAAAGGACTGAGCCAGCAGTTGATGGGAAACTTCTCTCAAATTTACCAGGTTTCCAGATTGGGTACTCCTGACCTGACCAAATTTTCACTCTACGTTGAATCATTGAGCAGTACAAACGATTCCAGTCGCTTTAACTTACAGACTTCCTTGAACTGCAGGCATCATTTGATTTAATAAATCGTCCAGTGATGCGGAAAATGTTAAAACGCAGTGGCATGCACAGTTTCTATTTTGGAAGAGATGTATGCAGGAGCCATATCTGTTGCCAGAGTAACAGGAAAGCTATCTGAATGATTCACTATCAACTGTGGAATGTGCCAGAAGGATGCTCATTCGATCTTGCTATTCAGCATTATTCTCGACTTTCTTTATTAAAGCAGTGCTGACCGTTGCAACGACGAAAGCTTCATTCTAGAGTTGAAGATATCCGGCTAGATATCTTGCTTCCCTAGAGAATGCAGATGATATTGTTTCAATGATTAGTGGGGCTCGCGGACCCTATCGGCTGATGACTTCCGTTTGCAACACAGCCGCCAAAGTTTCCTTGACGCCCGGAAGTCAAATTTTTTGGGGAACGTCTCGGGCACAACTTATTTGCGATATAAGGAGGTCGATAAATTTAAAAATTTCGGCTCCCTCAACTAGCCAGGATGAAATAGGAGGATCGTTTTTGCCTCGAGTATTTACGGTATTTGAGCTGATAAAAAAGTAACACTTTCCACAAAATGAGCCTGTACCTTGCCTCGATCAGGTTACTCTTGTTGTATAGCACGGAGACGGTTGTTTTACGATGAATGTTGGTTGTACTGAGTGCGTCAGCGTTGGCTTCGACATTTAGTGGTGGCTAAATGACGGGGTCAGGCCATCTTCAACTCTGCCCAGGACTGGCCAAACCTCATGCCATGACAAAACAAGGTGTATAATGTTGACCGGTGCATTTTATTCAGGTGATCCAGGAAATAACAAGACAACCTGAGGAATGGCTCTATTATCTTGCGGGAAGAATCGATTTTGTAAATACTGAGATCAAGAAAGGGATAGTTACGTGTTAAGCAAACTGGCTGAGTACAAGCGATTTATTCTAGCCCATGAGCATTCGAGTGACGGCCAAAACAGGCAAACGTCGACTAGCAGACCAGCAAGCAACATGAAGGAACAAGGTAGATATGCATCTGCTTTTACAGAGGAATCGTTTTCTTTATTATACAGTAACGGATGCCTTGTAAAAATAAATATCATATAAACTGCAAATACGGCAGACATTACACACTGGAGACTCTCTGCCTATGCAAACGACTGGAGGTAACGAAACAACACACTTTGGAAGAAGAAAGCCACAAATAAGGCCAACTACGGATTTTAAGGGAGACGGACAAGCAAGCAATTTCCGTTGCGTTTTCGATCAAACCCTACAGTTGGCGCTTGTTGTGGTCATCACTTTAAGCCGTTTGCTTTCGCAAAATTTCTCTCATGTCATTTTCAACATCAGCTGTTCAATACTTTCGCTTCTGCAGCACCGGTAGCTGCGTCGTAGAATTAATAACGTTTCTTCCAAAGCAATCTGTCTCTACCTTGTTCGTCCTCATTGTTGCCTGA